TCCCGCTCTCGCTCTTCCTCACTCTATCTCTTTCTCTTTATATTGTGACTGTGAAGCCATCGCCGTCGTCGTCGTCGTCTGCGTCTCTCATTCATTTGCCAATTACGCACTCTGTGCCACAGCTCTCGTCCGCTAGGCAGTCAGACATGCTAACGACATGCTCTAGAGTTGTTTATAATGTCGTCATCCCAACAGCAACAGCAACAGCAGCAGCAATGGCAATGGCAACTGCAACAACAGTTGCTGCCACAACGGCAACATGCCAAGCGGCGCCTCTCCGATTTCAAACCACGTCCTCCTTCTGCACCCCGCTCGCCGTCTATCGACTTGCATTTATTAATTATTCTGTGTGGCAAAGTCGTCTGAACCGAAAATTCGGCACGCACGTTGCGCATTTCTCGCCAAGATTTTCCCCGATGGGCTTAAAAGGCTTTCCTTTATATTCACAGCTGTTGCTGTTGCTGTTGTTGTTGTCGTCGCTTTTCACTAATTGAGTTCACATTACTTGGCAAAATAAATGCGTTTTGTGTATTTTTAGCCAAATGTTTTGCCGTTTTATTAGCTAAACGTGAGTTGGCAACATTGAACAAAAAAAATCTTTCAGTCTCCTGCTGCTGCTGCTGCTGCTGCTGCTACTACTGCTACTCCTGCTATTGCCTAGTTGGGATTGTCAATCGCTCGCCGATGGGTTGAGATTAGAGCTGTTGATACACTGCCTTACATGACTTGCGATTCCCAAATGGCATCGTGATGGGATATGCAGAGATCCAGACAGGGCACTCAGCTCGAGCATCAAGTGACCCATGAAGCGTGTTCGATTATAAAAGGATTTTCGACATTCTTATTTATATATTTATTCCATTTTAAGGTCTGCTGCATTTTGATTATGTGCTGCTTTATTATGCCAACATATGCATTATGAATATATATTTTATTTACTCAGCAAGCAACTTGTAGCACATTTCATCAATTTTATTTGCATAGCAAATCGAGATCAACTTTTGACTATTTTCTTTAGAAATTTCAGCGACACTGAGCTGGCAACGAATATTTTCTTGTTCCCTTGAACGATGAATTAACCAAATATGTCTACAAACTGTATTTCTTCCACTCACTAACAATATTTGCCACAACAGACTTAAGAGCATATACCCATTAGCATTAGCAGACCTCCCTTGACATTTTCTCTTAATATAGAAATTATACCTCACCTTAGCCAAATGCCATGAGACAGTTTTAGTTTTAAATTCTATTCTATTTATTTTTTTGTTATTAATTTTTTTTATCTTTTTTTTTTTATCTGCCTTTTTTATAAACCACCATCCAATAGTCTATTACAACTCCCTGCATAGCAAAAGCAAAATAAGTTAAATTTAATAAAATATATATTTATATTTATATGTACATGTAAATACATAATCAACTTTTGGGCTGTAAAGCAAAAGTGCTTCGACCTGTGGCTTCACTAGTTTAAGTTCATTCATAACAAATCCAATCAACAAATTTGTTTTCCAAATTAAAAGTGCATATTGTTAGTTGGCCAATCAGAACTTCAATTATTTTTAATATTAATAATTAACAAAAATTGCACGACAATTATTTTTGGGTTCATACGTGTTAGTTATCAAATTAAATATAATAACTTAGTCTCAATTAAATATTTTTTTTTTTTTTCAAATTTTAAGTAAAATAAAATTGGTTGAAAAAGGGAAAAAAGGGAATAGAAGAGTTCACAGACTAGTCTATTATTTAGTTTAACAAGTCAGAGAATAGATATTTAGAATATATATTTATGCTGATGCCGGATACTGATCAGAGTAGACTATATAAAATGATATAGTATATGACACATCCCATAGACTGCAGACCTTAGCAATTGTCAAAGCTCAAACTCTGCACTACAGAGGTGCCAATGGAGAAGATAACTCCTATGCTCTATATTTTGGATGATCACTAATTACTCGCCAGCCACAGTCTCTGCTCTGCAGTGCAGGGAAGAGCATTTATTTACGCTCTGGTTGGCGGTGTCTCATTTAAGCTGCAAACCCATTAAAGATTCTACGTGTCGCTCATTCCGTTAACGAGCTGCCGCCGCACTGTGCCAGTCCCTGACATCGTTTATGTGTGCATGTGTATGTGTGTGTGTATAGACTCTGGCCAGAGCTGCAATTTGGCTGTGAGCGTCCTTTAGCCCACTTCACCAATAGCAGTTGCTGCAGCTACCCAGCTCGCTCGGTCCGATCCACAAGCATAAGCTAACGAGCACCAAATGCCGGAGCTGTCGTGTGTGTGTATTTTTTTTCTCTCTTTTTTTCATGTGGTCTGACAATTTAATTGATGTACACGCATGCACACAAAGACAGCTCACAGACACACACACACACATGGGCTTTTGTATTGGAGTAAAGCTTTTGAACAAACCGCTAAAAAATGACACCTACCACGAGAGAGAGAGAAAGAGAGGGGGGAAACAGAGAGGGCCGCCCGAAAAGGTAGCCAGAAGTAGGTCAGGCATGCAACCTGCTGTCAACGCTGGATAATTGAAGGAGGGTGCCCAGCCAGCACTCATCAATGGGGCAAGTTGCAATTGCAACGCAAAACGATAAACACAACAATAGCCACACACACACACACACACGCGCATACACGCACACAGTAAGCGAATCGATTAGTGGCTTAAAATTTGACTTTGTTTGACACGCGGCTGACACAACTAATAAATTTCCATAGCATTTGATGGATCACCCGAGCTCGCCAATTGCCAGCGGGCGACCAGCACTGGCGATGCACTGCTGCAACCTGATTGATTGTCCGGCGCTCCGATAACCCGACCAACACCACCAACTGAAATCCCCGAACACGAATTACGACGAGCAGCACACGGCGATAGCTGCCAGATAAGCGCCTGATTAGCACTCGCACTCGCGCTCCTTCAAATATTTACTCAGTTATTCAGAACTGACGCGATTTGTAGCCCGATCTCATAGCGAAAGAGAGAGAGACCAATGTGCCACCTACACACACATTGATGCGTGTACATATATGTGTATGCAGGCAGCTACCATCAATCACTCGACCTGTTTGCATAGGCAGCCCAGCAAGCTGAGAGTTGTAAATTTTACAACATAATTTCTGATAATTCAACCATATCTTGCCCTATGCATGTGTTTTACGATTCTCCAACATAGATTTATTTATTTTATATACACATATATGAATATGTACATGAAAAGGGTTTTTTACGGCAGTTTTTGGCAGCACCTCGTAAAACACTTTTCGGTTTTTATGCGTTCTGTATTCAGAAAGTAAAGTTTATCTTCGATATTCATATATAAATATAATCCTGTTGATTTGTGAGCTGACAACACATGAAGCAATGTGTTAATATGAAGGCACTCTAATAAAATTACCCATACGAAAGAGTAAAAAAAAAAAAATAATAAATTTCCAAAATATTAAAACAAAAATAAACAAAAAAATTGAATAAAAGTAAAAACGTTCGAAAACTACATTCCATATCAATTAATTTATAATTCATTATATGTCATTTCAAACGAAAGTCCAATTTTAATTTGAATTACCCACGAGATAACTCAATTAAAAAATAAAAATAAAAATATTTTTCCAAATATCTATCAAATGAATAAAATGTATTTTTAATTCAAATTCATTTAATACCCAAACACAGTTTGCAGCGAAAAATTTTATGCTTCGAGCCATCAAAATGCGATTTAATTTCAAAATAGTTGAATCAACAAAATTTGCAGCTAATTGGTATTTGATAGACAATTAATTGCGCATTCATGAAATTAAAAACTATTCATATATCCGAAAAGGGGCAAAGTGGGCAACTCACCGATTAGTCGTAGCACCTCGTGGAGATTCAGAAATATATTCAAATGCGTTTGGCCGCCGCTGAGCAGCGCCAGAAATAATCCGATTGTGAAGAGGCCTTTAAAGTTCTGCTCCATGGCTGGCATTGGCTTGGTAAATCACACTTGAACTGTTTAAATAATAATTGCTTGTTTATTGTTTACTTCGCTTTGATTGGCACTGGCTAAACACTCGCAGAATTTTGCTCAATTTTTGAATCTTAGAATATGGCGCGCATTTTGCTTTTGCAATATTTCACAGTGCGTTTTTGGCACTTCGCCTCGCGGAAGTTTCAGACGCGCATATTCCAATTGGAATTAACACCTAGACGTGCGTGGCTCTGCTGAAGAGCCGAGACAAATTTAATACTCGTTGGGCTATTTGGTTTTCCGCGACGAATTTTCGTTGATGCGCGCACCGTGACGATTTTCCACAAACTGTCAACTGGATAAACAAAACAATGCTATTGCCGAAGTATCTTTCAGATAATTTCAACAGACTCTGTTATGGCCACGCTCTGTTATGTTAATTCACACAGAGTCTAACATTTACAGTGGTTGCTTCTGTTCTGCACATTCGAGTTTCGAACAACAGAGCCGCTTGCACAGCTGTTTTCGAAGTTCCGAACATTGTGTTTATTACAGTTCTGTCTGTCTGTTACAGTTCTGTTAAATTKCTGATATATTCAAACACATGTGCACACTTTAAAAAAGGAAAGATAGTAATTATAAATATAGCATTGAAATAAACATTTTCACATATTATATTTTTACATATAAACATAATTTTTTAATTTATATGGGACACACTACAAATGGTTATGTTAACTCCAACTTGTGGATGCTATTGCGCCACCTAGCGTAAATATTTGGTACTACAGCCAGATTATAACAGTTTACTTGATAAGGGGAAATGCAATTCCAATTTTATACATTTTATACATTACCCCTTATAGTACCTTCTACATTGGAGTATTTTTTAAACTGTCCCTAAACTATGATAAATAATGAAATTCATACTACGCGTATTTTATTTTTATAAATTATGACTGGATCGTAGAATTAGCTGCACTTTTAGCTTAAACTCAAAATACATATCATATGATGAGTATATCTTATAAATAATAGTTAAATTAATGTAACTTTGGATACTCATACTGCTTTAGGTAGGGACTTACATACATATCTATTCTGACTACACAGTAATATTTTAAGACATTTTAAGTACTCTCAAATACTTTTACACATTTGACACACCAATTTGACCTATATGAATAATGGGATAATGATCTGAAGTGACTATTCTTTGACTGTTAACTGTTCGATGGAGCTCAGCGTCGTTTCTATTAACAAATTGTAGTCCAACTCGTTAAGACTCGCCTTGGCCGTGAGCAGGTCCAGGAAGGAGTCCAGCGGAGACAGCGTTTCAGCCGTGAGATCTGCAAAGAAAATGAAAAATAAAATTGAATGGAAACAATTATACAAGCCATTCAGTAAATACATTTAACGACAAATCCACAGACTGACAGACACAAACAGGTGCGCTGCTTACCAACCAGAAGATGATCGGCAGTTGGGAATAACTATGTGATTACCAAATGGCGGATCGCTGGACAAGCACGAAGCGTGCAATGCTTAAAATGGCTGTGGTTAAAATGATAAGCAAAAAACCCAAAAGCAACGAGTGACAAACGATGGTGGGGGGCTTGCCCAGTGCTAGACCGGGTGTTGGATGACAGAGTGCAAATGAAAATGTGTTAAGCTAAGTGTCACAAATGATCAAGAATATAAAATTGCTTCCTACCAGTTCTGGCATGCATTCGCGACTGTGAAACGCCACCAGATCCGCGCCGCTGTGCCGGCTCCTGATGCTGACCCGATAAGATATTGGCCGCATGCTCTCGCCCCCTTATCATAAGACTCTCTGGATGCTGCCAACATTTTAGCAAACGCTGAGCCCGCTGCTTAGGCAGAGCCGAGAGTAGCGACAGCTTACGCTCGATGCCCTGCGGCGTGTCCTCGATATCTGCAAGCAAAGAAATTTGATTAGTCACATTGTCAGTGAGAGAACTGCATTATATATACACACCGAATACAATTGCCTTCATGACATCTACTTGCAGCTCAAACACATGATTCTCCACGTATTGCAAAAACATGTCATAGTCCAGGGCGCGGTAGCCCAAGTACGTGAAGAACGAGGAGAAGCCTTCAGGCAGCGGGAAGGCAATCGACTCCACGGCCAAACAATAACGTTCAAGTATCAGGAACAGCGAGTGCTGCTGATTGCTGGACATCTGGTCACTAAAGGTCATAGAGAAGAATTTTAAATAAGCAAAACAGTTATATAAATACGAGACCCACATCAGTTGAAAGCCGCGCAATGTCTCCAAGCGCGCATCCAAGCCGGCCGCCCGGCAAACCAGCGAACACAGCGCACGGGACAGCTCCAGCTGAGCGGAAACGAATTGCGAGGCAACTGCATGAACATGGGCTGGAGCCTGCGAGCGCTCGAAAAAGGTTTCCTTCAGCCAGCGGAAGCCCGAATGCGGCTTTGAGGAATGCTTCACCAAATGCACGCTGAGCTCTCGCAAATACTGAAAGAAAGGACACTATAAATATGGGAATTCCTTTAAGCTAAATTCTTGCTTGGACGTACAACGGAAAGGACGTGCTCCTGCTTGCTAGCCGTGCAGCCCTCGAGCTCAATGAACGGCAGCACTTCGCTGCTGAAGGGAAAGGCGCTGCCGCTGCTGTAGTCGCCAAAGCCACCGCTGCCTGCATCTGGCGTCATGGGTGTCGTGCAGCGGGAAAGCGCCTCCGGCTGGTAGCAGGCCAGACTAAAGATCAGTTTCTCCGTCACCTGCTCGGCTGCGAAGCGCGGTTGCTCCTGCTTGGCAGACTCATTCAGTAGTTCCCACAGCCGTGTCCAGATATCTGTGCGATAAGGAGACAAACGCTGCTGCGGCGACAATAGCATCATGCTCGTATTATGCAGCGCCTCGTGCGATATGCCCACGTTGATGTCTGCGACGCGCGCTTGAATAGGTCGCGTGGCAATCGCCGTGGTCAGCGGGAGCAGGCGCATTAGCGGCTTTGCCTCCTCGGGCAGTCCGCGCACTGCTGCCGCATAGCTGCCGGCAATGAGCGCCTCCTTCAGCAGCGCCACGGTGTCCAGCGAGAGGGGCCGCTCCAATATGCTGCTCAGCAGCTCGGCCAGAACATCCATGTCAGTGGAATGAATCAGGAAGTAGTGGATGATGCTGATGCGGTTGTCCAGCGAGTTGTCATTGCGGAATGTTTCAATCAGATGCGCCTTTGGCACACTCAGCGAGACCAGATCTAAGGTGGCAGCATCGAAGGCTAGTGCGCCCCACTTGCGCAGCGGCACCAGGTGAATGACATCGGGACCTCGATTGACTACGGCCGGGCACACAATATGGCACGTGGGCTCGTGCTGCAGGCCCACGTCCAGCAGATGCACAAAGATTGCTGATGAGACCAACAGATGATGCGAGCCCTGCAGCGCAAAGGTGGGACGCAGCAGCCGCGCCTTGTGCCAGGGCACGCCCGGCATGACGCAGTGCACCACACATCCGTGATGCAACAGCGACACGGAGTAGGCGAAGTGCACATCCTGCTGCTGCTGCTGCTGCTGCTTAGTTGCCTTGCTTTCCTGCGCGTGCTGCGGCTGCATGGGCTGGTACAGATAATAGTGGCACACGAAGAACATGCCCGAGCTATCGGCCAGGATGATCAGATTCAGTGAGCTGTCGTGCACGCGCAGCGGCACAGCGTCGTCATCGTAGCTCGGCGGCTCCTCTGCGGCATTCGCGGGAAGTTTCGGCAAATTGAGCGGAATGTTGAGCTAGCGGCATTGGAAATTACAAATCTGAATGCAAGTTCCATTTCACCGTCAGTTCGATTGCACTTACAACTGTTTCCGTGGGCTGCTTCTCGTTGAACTGAAATGCTGACAGAGTGGGACTGAGCACCGGCACCGCCTGTTCGCCTGTTTGCTCCCGCTCGTCCAGCAAGCTGAGGCTCACGGCCTTCGGCTTGAGGTGTATGTAGTAGAGTGCCTGGCACTCTGCGTCCCACTGCGCCCAGCTGAAGTTCTTGGCCAGCGTCTCGTGGGTTAATATGCTGACGTCCAGGCGCCAGGCGCTGCCCTCCACACAGCCGGTTTGTGAGGCTGTCGAGCTTTGCTTGACCGTGCAGCTGTACTGCTTGATAGCTGAATAAGTTGTTTATTAAGTCAGGATTACCGCATATTCACTGACTACTCACAGTCCTCGTGTGTGAGCACCAACAGCTTGTCCTGCCAGCAGGTCCGCGTGGCGCTCTCCACTCGCCAAAGGAACTGCGTCATGATCTGCCGGGTCGACGGCTCGGCCGTGAGGCATGTGGGCGTACCGTCCTCGCTGCTGCGCACTTCCACAATAAAGGCCTGATAGCGCTGCGACGCTTTTACCACATAGGACAACAAGGTAATGCTGCTATTGATGCTCGCCTGGATGATCTCCACGCAGCCGGGCAGGGTCCAGAGCACGCGTACCTGCTTCTTGGTGGCATGGAAGTGGCCAATGCAGGTTTCGCGCTTAGTCGGCTCGTCCAAATATTCGAATATCCATGAGGTTAGCAGCGACCCGTCCTGCTCCTGGCCCAAAATGCGCCACTCGTTCGCCTTTTCTGCATGCGAACATGTAACAATATGATTTGGATTGGTTTCAATGCTTTCTAAGCCGACTGCAACACTTGCCTTTGTAACCCTGAGCGGCCAAAAGGCCACAGAAGTTGGCAGCCAAGTTCTCTTGCCGCAGCATGGTAATTTTAATTTATTTATTTTGAAAATATTGTCGCCTTTACAGCATTTTCAATTTTCAGCGAAGCACTCAAGAAATCAATAAACATTGCGGAAAGTTGGCAACGCGACAATCAGCTGTGCAGGGTGACCATATATACATATTTAACTGTGTGGCAGCGCCACCATAAAGATCTTTAAAGACATGGCTCCCAGCACCGTTATATTCAATATGTTGCGCAACATTTTGCAAAAATAAATGAGTACTGATAATGCCAAGTGAAATAATTACACTACAATTGGGCCAATGCGGCAATCAGAGTAAGTTAATTATAAATGTATGTAAGGTGCTAATTTTTAAATGCTAACCCAAAAGTTGGCTTTGAGTTTTGGAAACGCCTTTGCCTGGAGCATGGCATTTCCCCGGATGGGGTGCTCGAAGACTTTGCGGCCGATGGACACGATCGCAAAGATGTCTTCTTCTATCAGGCAGATGACAATCATTATATACCAAGAGCTGTCTTATTGGACCTGGAGCCCCGCGTCATTCACAATATAATGACCTCGCCATATGCCAAGGTGAATATATATTTAATTACATATGAAACTTATTGAAATTGTTTCAATTGTCAGCTCTATAATCCGGAGAACGTTTACTTGTCCAAACATGGCGGCGGTGCTGGCAATAACTGGGCTTCTGGCTTTAGCCAAGGCGAAAAGGTGCAGGAGGAGGTGTTTGACATACTTGATCGTGAGGCCGATGGCAGCGATTCACTCGAGGGATTTGTACTCTGTCACTCGATAGCTGGCGGCACAGGATCTGGCATGGGCTCATACGTGCTCGAGCGCCTGTCGGATCGTTTTCCAAAGAAGCTCATCCAAACGTACAGTGTGTTTCCAAACCAGGACGAGATTAGCGACGTTGTCGTGCAGCCCTACAATTCAATACTCACTCTAAAGCGGCTTACTAAGTGCGCCGATTGTGTCGTGGTGCTGGACAACACGGCCCTGAATCGCATTGCCACGGAGCGCCTGCACATACAAACGCCCACCTTCACCCAGATCAACAATCTGGTGTCCACGATCATGAGCGTCAGCACCACCACCTTGCGCTATCCCTCCTATATGAACAATAATCTGATTGGGCTCACAGCTCCGCTAATTCCTACGCCCCAGCTTCACTTTCTTATGACTGGCTATACTCCACTGATCACAGATTATGAGGTGAGAATGTAAATGGACTAGAATCAAGATTACTTTTCAGCTATCATTGGTTTCTTTTACCATTTGCAGACGAAAACAAATGTGCGCAAGACAACAGTTCTGGACGTGATGCGTCGCCTGCTGCAGCCAAAGAATATGATGGTCTCCTCGACCGCCGACAAGCGGCACTGTTACATCTCCATACTGAACATAATACAGGGCGAGGTGGATCCCACGCAGGTGCACAAGTCGTTGCAGCGCATACGCGAGCGCAAACTGGCCCAGTTTATACCGTGGGGTCCGGCAAGCATTCAGGTGGCACTGTCGCGCAGTTCGCCCTACGTACAGACGGCGCACAAAGTATCCGGCCTGATGATGGCAAATCATACGGGCGTGAGTGCTCTCTTCAATCGTGCATTGGCCCAGTATGATAAGCTGAAGAAGCGCAATGCCTTTCTGGATCAGTTTCGGCGTGAGCCTATGTTCCAGGACGATTTGACCGAACTGGATTCGGCCCGCGACACGGTGGACTGCCTGGTGCAGGAGTACGAAGCTGCCACACAGGTGGACTATCGACACTGGAGTCCGCTGACGAATGGAGCAAAAGTCACAGCTTAGGCATTGTTCAGCTGGCTAAATCAAACTATAGCCTAGTAGGCCTTTCTTTTACATTATTCTAGGCCAAGTTTACAAAAATCAACCTCATTCCATTTTAGGAATAATATGAAATACCATTAAATTTTCAAATTTCTCTGGGTGCTGTCTATTGAGTGGTTCGTATATGGATATTTTTGAAGTTTATAAGCAATCATTCATTTCCCTATTTTTAGTTGTACAGCCATGTCTAAATTGAAGAAGTCATTGAAGACTTTAAGCCATACCATCAAGGATTTTTTGGGCTTGGGAGTCCAGCGAACTCTCAATCTTTTCGGATACCTTGGTGGTATAGCCTATCGAAATTGAGCTTTACAATACACAATTGCCGGCTGTTTATCTTAAATCCAACGTTTCACACACAACATGCATTAGCAGAAATGCTTAAACGCATTCCCGTTTAGATTGTTTTAAAAATTATATAGTACGAACTATTTTAAAAATTAGTGAAAAATATGGATACATAGCTTGTGTGAGCCAACCAATAAATACGAAGTATACTTGTTAATTTTACCGCTCTTGAAAAATGTTTTCTTAAACTTCTTCTGAGCGAATGATATAAAACTTGTGCTTAAATATGGTTCATAGTAAGGATACAAATAATAATTCACTATAATAATAATTCACTAATCAAAACGATAACTGCATTGGGCCCAATGAAAAGTTAAATCAGGGTATAAACATTTTTTTTTTTTATAAATGTATATAACATTCTTAATCAGGCCGACGAGGTGGGTCCTTCGAAAGGTAACATTCAAACACATCAAAATTCTTGACTGTAAAGCTCTCTATAAAGCAATCATAACAATAATTTAGAATTTTTTAATATGGACAGAGACAATATACTCTTTCCCACCTTGCACGAGTATAAGGCTGAGCATATCAAATGCTTTTAAAATGTTACCAACTCGTGGTTTTACCAATATGAACTTCGTGTTTATTACAATTGCATTTTTTTTTTTTTTTTTTTTTTTTTTGGTTTACATTATTTTTTTGTTATCACATTTTTGAAATGCTGCATTATTCTTGCTGATCGAACCAGATGGGAGCAGTTTGATCCACCGGCTCCTCGGCAGTCAACAGTCGACGCCAGGGGCCATCAGGTCTGCCGTCGTTCAACAGCCACAGCAGAAGGAACATTGCAAAAACGCTGGGGTGCAGGGCGAGAAACACATCTCAACACAACAGGATTGACAACAGGGTCCGCCACACGGTGGGCCACAGAATGAACACCATCCAGCCGGACCACAGCACATATTCTGAAAATATTCAACTGATTCAACTGCTAAGACTCCTCGCATTTACAGTTAATACTTACGTTTAAGAGATAGGTGAAATTCAAGTTCTTCGGGCAATATCAGAATATATTATTCGTTGAAATTTGGTTATATTTTGTGTGTGCTGAGCGGCTTTTAGGAGGAGAACACCTAACAAAAAAATAATGTAAGTTTTTTACACAACTTTTTATGTGCTTACTACACGAATTTTGAACCAAATCTGAAGATCTCAACCAAATTCGTTCCTACCTATCCAAAAATTGAAGCTCGATCTCAAGGCCTGTTTCGATTCTGATCCAAACATCCAAATTACTCAGCTTCAGTTTTTCGTAAACCCTGAACACATTGAAAATGGGAAATCAATGTGTAATGGTTTTGTGAAAAGTATGTAACAGGCAGAAGGAATCATCGCAGACCCCACAAAGTATACATATTCTTGATCAGGGCGACTAGCTAAGTCGATTTAGCTCTGTCCGTCCCGCCTGTCCGTAAGTTTGAACGTGTCGATCTCAGAAGATATAAGAGATAGAGACTTGAATTTTTTTCTAGGTCCGTGTATACGCTCATATGGATTTTTATTTCAAAAATCGATAATTTGTCCTGTTATTTTGTTATCGATCAATAGCGAAAATCCGTAATACATTTTTCTCTTTATCCACCCCCTCACCCCTAAATTTGTAAGAGGCGATTTCAAATACTAGAGACTCTTGCTTTAGCAAAGGCATGCATAATCTGAAAGTTTCATGAAGATAGTCCATCCACAAGAAAAGTTGTTAAGCAATTAAGTTCCCGCATGTGCGAATAACTATTTAAATATCAGTTGCTCGAAGAGTTCAGGGGATCTTGTAGTCGAGCAGTTTCGACTAGAGCTTTCTTACTTGTTTTATTCTGTTTATTATTGGGCTTTATTCTTTGGGAGCTCTGTCACCTTCAGACAAAATTGGGAGAGTGACTAATGTTGGCGTGGGGTCGTCAAAAAAGTTTTACTGGTGGGTAGGTTCATTAGATAAAGCTCGAAGATATACGCGTTATTTATATATGAACTGAACTTATGCATGTATCCATATAGACAAGTATATGTGCGTATTTATGTGCATATCTATTGTATATTCATATGTGAAAGTATGTATGAGAACTCGCAACGTTCATATCATATTCATATAACCAATTTTATTAGACAAATTGAAACTTCATATCTTTTCGCAATATGGCTACATTTTAAACAGATTGCAAGACTTGGAAATCCTAGATATAGTATTATATCGAATGTTCGATTTCATTAAATATACTCAAATACATAAACTGTTTTTCAATAGGCCTTGCTTTAACTTGCTTTAAACTTACCTCAGGGCTCTAAAATATTTCAGTTTCAAACTACACCTGGAGTCGATAGGTTTGTCTTAATTTCTGATAAATCGCAACCAAACTTAGTCCTTTAGTAAGTAGCTAGAAAAGATAATTCGCTTCCAGAATATATATTTTGTTGATTCCATCTGCAGGGTGTGAGCCATCATGTGCTGCCAAAGCCGCTACTACCGGGAGACACCCTGTGTCCAGTGCTGCCTAGTCGATTGCAGCTACTGCTGCTATCGAACACAATGCGCGGGTCCCTGTGGCCCCTGCAGGACTGCGGCGCCTTGCTGCTGCGGAGCTGTCGGCGATCTCAACTACAAATACTCCTTCTTTGGACTGCATTTACTCTAGACGGAAACTGATGTAATTCATTTGCCTCCTCTACTAGCAGCGGCAGCAGCAGCACTTGACTCATCGACCTTGACCTTAGACTAACTGCGACTCCCGAAATTTGTTCTGCAAAATTATCAGTTCAAAATATATGTCAAAACATGAAAGGGTGCTCCAGAGGGTGCTCTGAGCGCTTTAAACAGCTGATATTGCAGTCGTTCTATATTTTATTTCATACAAAAAAGTTGCATTCATTTC